TGGTCTGTAGGAAGATATCCCCCTTTACAGGTAGTCAGCATAAAAATGTTGGTGCCAGTGGTTACTTATCTGAGAGCCAAAATAGCGAATAGCTCTAGGAACCCCTAGAAACTTCTGGAGGAACCCAGGGTTCCATAAAGCTCTGATTGGAAATAGCTGGCTTAGAGGGACATATAATATTTAGCGTTGGGATTAGATTAACTAATGATTCATTTTAGGTGTTAGATAAAGGTTATACAGTTAGTTTTAAGGCCTCATGCGCACAGGACGTTTTAAAAAATGTTGCCCCTCTTGGCAGCAGCGTTTTGGCAGCAAAAATGCCTGAGACTTGTAAAAGTGTCTAACCTTTTATAAGCGTTTAAGCAATGTTTACAAGCATCAAGCATTTGGGCATTAATTAATTTCAGTGGCCAGAATAATAATTTATTCTGGCCACTGAAATTAATTAACATTTAAGTGCTAAACGTGCTTACATATGCTTACACACATCAAACATTTTTTTCTTGCAAAACGCTTCTACTCCTGGACGCACTGGCAGGTTTTTTTTTACAGTGCCTTAAAGCCCCTGCTACTAAAATTTTCTAAAAGTCTATGTGTGCATGGACATATAGGATAATATAGAAGGGTGTTTGGAAGTTGTAAAAAAAAAAATTCCCGATGCTCCTAAAAGTGGCTGCAAAAATGCCCTGTGTGCATGAGGCCTTAGAGTTAAGATTTTTGGCAGATTAGTTATCATGGTTAGGTTAGGGATTAAGTCTCAGTGTTAGAGGGTAGTTTAGTGTTAAAGTTAGGGTGGGGGGACAGGTTAAAATGGGAGGAAAAAAGCTCATTTAGATTTAGAAGAGGGCATCAAACTATCATTCAGTTAATTCAAGACCTATTTAGACTACTAGGGGTTTATTTACTAAAGCTGGAGAGTCCAAAATCAGACTCCCTTCTGCATAGAAACCAATCAGCTTCCAGGTTTCATTGCCAAAGCTTCATGGAACAAGCTGAGGTTAGAAGCTGATTGGTTTCTATGCAGAAGGGAGTCTGATTTTGGACTCTCCAGCTTTAGTAAATAAACCCCCAAGTGTCTTCAAACATTTTACAACCATTTGAAGCAAGCGTACAATACTTGGACATCACAATTAAAATCATACGGAACAATGGCTTAAAAGACAGTAAAAAATAAAATAAAAAGGGAGTGTGGCCGAATGTAGAGCAAGCAGGAAGTCTGCCTGAGGAGCTCCTGATATTCAGTCCATTGGAACTATATAATGGCAGTTTTAGAACCATTGGGTTTTGGCCCCATCTTTTGTGGGTGGATCAAGATATTGTACAAATCCCCAATGGCTCAGAATAAACCGGGAGGGGTACTTTCATCCCCATTCCTAATACAGCAGGGGACGAGGCAAGGGTGACCTCTTTCCCCCACTCTATTCACATTGGCTATGGAACCCTAGGCTGAGGCATTGAGGATGTTGGTTCTTGGGCCTGCAGACCAAGTGGAAGAAATCACTTATCCTCCCTGATGACCCAGGGGCATGGCAGATCCTGCCTTTGCTCTCCAATGGGTGGATACCATTCACTATCTTGATGTCACTGTTTCTCCAAATGTTAAAGACTTTAGTAAACTTCATTTATATCCCACACTGCAGTGGTGTAAGCAGAATCTAAAAGCATGGGCCCATTTACATCTTATTGGATGAATTAAATTAATAAAAATGAACATTCTCCTGCTATTACTATATATTTTACAACATTCTCTCGTTTGGAATCCGATAATCATTTTAAACAATTTGACTCTATGGTTACATCCTTTTTATGGCAATCTCACCCTGCTCGATTTAATAAAAAGCTACCTGGACGCAAAGGGGTCTGGCATGTCCAGACTTACATATTTATTATTTACCAGCTTTGCTCACTCATGCCCATAATTGGCTAATCTCAGATGACACAAATGCCTGGGTAGTCCTGGAGGCCACATAATTGGGCTCCTACGAGATATTACGCAGCCTCCTCTACAGAAGATTACAGGCCTCTTACCCCTGCAATGCAAGCAGTCATCAAAGATTGGCATATTACTTTGACCAAACCAAATGTTTCTTCCAAGTACTGGTACCCCAACACTCGACTCTGGTTTAAACCCAACCTCCCAGAATTTCAGTCAATACCGAATCCTTCTTTATTGACTACTAGGGGTATTTGATACCTGGAACATTTAGGTGGTTACTTTTGATATTCTGTAACACAAATTTGACCTGCCCAACTCTTTTTTCAGATTCCTACAGCTCCACCACACTTTTAGGTCACAGTTTTTGATCTCCGGGGGGTCCATTTGGATCTAGATTAATTGGAGTCCTTCCTTCTCAATGATACTCTATGTAAACCATTATCCAAGATTTATAAAGCACGATTACCATCTATTCATGTGGGTTTGGATGCACCAAATGCCCCTTGCCAGGCAGAGGAGCCTCACCTAGATGGAGAGGATTGGGAGGATATGTGGGATTATCCCTTTAAACAATTGATAGTGACTAGAGATAGGTTAATCCAATTCAAAATTCTTCACAGAATCTATTTCACACCTCAAAGGTTACATCAGATTTATCCTACTATTCCTTCCTGATGCTGGAGGTGCTGTGCAACCCTGCTGGATTTATTAGTGTATTCTTGGACTGCCCACAGATCAGATCTATTGGTCATAAGGGGCCCAGTTTATCTCAGGCCTGACCACTATCCCTGTTCCTTTCAAGGTTGGTGTTTGCCCACTGGGGCTGGTAGAGTCTCTAGCTTTTGCCAGGGCAGTACATACCTTCCTAGGTTTATTGTTATTTTATATCAGAAAGGCTATAGTGCTTAAGTGGAAGTTGGACCAAGCCCCTAACCTGTCTTTCTGGAAAAAATTGGTTAACTCAGCTGTCCCTCTCTATTCTTACTTTTCTTGGGTTTATCTCAAAACGTTTAACAAGGTATGTAATCTTTGGTTGAACTCTGCCTCTACTACTGATTCCACAGACAACGAGGACGAATCCCCAGTCTACAATACTAGGTGAACTGGCCTAGGTTTTAGATATATTTGTGTATTACTACTTGTAAATTTATATGTCCTTTCTGCCTGATTTTAAATTGATTGCAACACGTCCCCAATTGCGAATTGTCCCCATTTTCTCTCTCTCTCTCTCTCTATATATATATACACAAACACACACACACTATATTGCCAAAAGTATTGGGACGCCTGCCTTTACACGCACATGAACTTTGATGGCATCCCAGTCTTAGTCCGTAGGGTTCAATATTGAGTTGGCCCACCCTTTGCAGCTATAACAGCTTCAACTCTTCTGGGAAGGCTATCCACAAGGTTTAGGAGTGTGTCTATGGGAATGTCTGACCATTCTTCCAGAAGCGTATTTGTGAGGTCAGGCACTGATGTCCGGCGGGAAGGCTTGGCTCACAGTCTCCGCTCTAATTCATCCCAAAGGTGTTCTATTGGGTTGAGGTCAGAATTCGCTCATCATTGTCTTTATGGACCTTGGTGCACAGTCATGTTGGTACAAGAAGGGGCCATCCCCAAACTGTTCCCACAATGTTGGGAGCATGAAATTGTCCAAAAAGTCTTGCTATGCTGACACCTTAAGAGTTCCCTTCACTGGAACGAAGGGGCCATGCCCTACCCCCGAAAAAAACAACCCCACACCATAATCCCCCCTCCACCAAATTTTACACTTGGCACAATGCAGTCAGGCAAGTACCGTTCTCCTGGCAACAGAGAGAGGAAGGGATATAATACACAAAGTGAAAACATCCCTAATACAAGGGGGGGAAAAGTCCTCTTTTTAGGTGGGACTTTAACGGCGCAATTTACTTGTATGATAAATTTCAACAATTCAAGAGATTTTTTATAAAAAACAGTATGACATTTTTACAATCTTCAAAAATAAATATACAGCTATATACATACATATTGCGGCGGTGTGATCAGAGATGGTATTGCAAATCTAATCTTGGATCATGCATGGTTCGCACTTGACGCATTTCGAGATCAACAAAAATCTCTTCTTCAGAAGTGCTCAAGAAGGCATGACGTATGATTCCATGTGAGATAAAAATCACCAGGAAATATTAAGAACAAGTTGTTATGTGAACACAGCCACGGATTTCTCATATATCTCAGGCAAAAATGATGAAACAAAAGTTAAAGATAAAACTGAGACCAGTGGATGAAAAATGCCGCCCAAACGCTTCCTGAAGAGGCCACGCCCAAATGCACCTTCAACAAGATTAGCTGCTGATTTGTACTGATAGGGCAGTGTATGAGTACGAAGCGATGACCACAAGGAATTTGTGTGAGAAAGTGTTGATGACCAGGCCTATCCAAAGAAGCATGCTTGATGGCTGTGAGCTCACATCATGTGTCTCCAGTGACACCCCTCCCAACATGGGGTCCTTACACAGCAGAAAGCTCCTCCCCCTTCACTCTACTGGCCCTGTCTGGGGTCAGGTTATTTTCTCTTCCAGTTTCTGCTTCCCAACATGTAATCCACTGTGTGGATACTATTGCAGTGAGTGCTTCGTGTAGTATTTCCCATCTTTGCCTTAGATTAGCAAAACCTTAAGGATGCCAGCCCCACACAGTGGCATAACTCCAGGGCCCATTTGCAAGAGCAAAATTTGCGACACTAGTAGTTCCGCCACTGACTTGTATCGTCTTTTATGAGATTTTTTTTTCATAACTTCTATTTATTGAAGTTTTGAGTTACAAGTACAAAAGATAGCCTTGGGACATTCTTCAGTTCATGGGAACAAAGCTTAAATAACAATTTCACAATACAAGTCTACTGCTCAGGCCTACACCACAATACAGGAATAGGTTTACAGCAAATAAATCTGGATTATAGCACCCTCCATCACATACACTATATTGCCAAAAGTACTGGGACAGCCCTCCAAATCATTGGATTCAAGTGTTCCAATCACCTCCATGGCCACAGGTGTATACAATCAAGCACCTAGGCATGCAGACTACTTCTACAAACATTTGTGAAAGAATGGGTCACTCTCAGGAGCTCAGTGAATTAAAGCGTGATACCGTGGTAGGTTGCCACCTGAGCAATAATCCATCTGTGAAAATTCCTTCCTACTAAATATTCCACGGTCAACTGTTAGTGATATTATAACAAAGTGGAAGCAACTGGGAACAACAGCAACTCAGCCATGAAGTGGTAGGCCACGTAAAATGACAGAGCGGGGTCAGCACATGCTGAAGCGCACGGTGTGCAGAAGTCACCAACTGTCTGTAAAGTCAATAGCTAAAGACCTCCAAACTTCATATGGCCTTCAGATTAGCACAACAGTGCGTAGAAAGCTTCATGGAATGGGTTTCCATGGCAGAGCAGCTGCATCCAAGCCTTACAATCACCAAGTGCAATGCAAAGCCTCAGATGCAGGGGTGTAAAGCACGCCGCCACTGGACTCTAGAGAAGTGGAGACGTGTTCAATGGCGTGACAAATCATGCTTCTCTGTCTGGCTATCCGATGGACATGTCTAGGTTTGGCAGTTGCCAGGAGAACAAGGGGGGGAAAGTCCTCTTTTTTGGTAGGACTTAATGGCACAATTTACTTGTATGATAAATTTCAACAATTCAAAGAGATTTTTTTTATAAAAACAGCATGAAATTTTATTTTTACAATCTTCAAAAATAAATATAAAGCTATAATACATATAATACACACTGAGCAATGAGGGTGAACCAAGTGACACAGAGCAAGTGAGTGCTACTGATCTTATCCCCCCCAAATCAGCACTGCCACTAACTGATCCCATCCCCCCATATCAGCACTGCCACTAACTGATCCCTTCTCCCCAGATCAGCCCTGCCACTGAACTCAATCTCCCCACCACTGCTACTACTGATATCATCTCCACCACCATCATTACTGCTACTGATCCCATCCCCTCCACCACCAGTATCACCACCGCCAATGGTCCCATCAACCCCCAGCTTTGCCACTGATTCAATAACCCTACACAGCACTGCCATCTCAGCCCCCCCTTCCCCACCAGCACTGCTACTGATCCCATTCTGCCCCCCCCCCCCTTCTCAGCACTGCCACTGATCCATCCATCCCCCTTCTTCCAGTGCTGCCACTTATCTCATTCCCTACCACCACCGGCACTGCCAGTGATCTCATACCACCCCCCCTACAGGCACTGATATTGATCCAATCTCCCATCCCCCCAGCACTGCAACTGATCCCATTCCTCCCTTCCCCAGCAGTGCCACTGACCCATCCCCCACACAGCACTGCCTCTGCTCTCATTCCCCCCCCCCACCAGCACTATTACTTATCCCACTCTCCCCTCCCACCTGCATCATATAATGTCATTGATCTCTTTCCTCCCTCTCTCAGGTTGCAGCAAGAAGAATAATAATCTGGCCGATCTTCCCCGTTCCATCCACCATCACTTCCCCAACTTAATTTAATCACTGGCTCTGTTCATTCATAAATGAGGCATAGTAAACCATGTTTACTATGCTTCAGTTTATAAATGAATGAATGGAAAGGCCTGTACAGAGCTTTTCCTGTCCATCCATTCTGTGCTGCTAGATAGATTGAGACTGATGGTTGTATGCTAAGTCTCCTTTCTCTGTCTCAAAGGTGAAACTTCAGAGGTCTGTTTAACCCCTGATATTTCACCAAAGCCCCCAATGGGGCTCCTAAAAAATGTTAAAAAACAAATAAAAAATAAAATTGTTAAAAAAATCAATAAGACGCTAAAAAAAAAAAATAAAAAAAAAATTAACAAAAATGAAAAATTACTAACTCCCATGGTGGAACTACCAGGGTCGCAAAGGTCACACTTGCAACAGGGCCCTGGTGTTCTGCCACCATGAGGGGGGCTCTTTATGGTTTCTTGCACCGGAGCCTTGAAGGTTTTATTTACACCTCTGATAAAAGCTCTAACAAAAGGTTTTTAGTACCCAAAAACATTCCATATTCTTCATATTGCTCCCCAAAGCCCATGTAGCATCTGCTTGAAGTGAAGGGGCCCTGGGGATTCCATGCAGCAGCACAAGACAAGCAGGCAGTACACATTGGTATCTAGTTAACAATCATTTTGGTTTTACAAAACCATTTTTCAGATTCGGATTTGCAAAGGTTTACTGCGTCCTTCAGTTTGTTTTTCCATTCCACTTACTGTGTGGCACATTTATTATAGGTCTGCCACATTAATCTGCAGCTGTTTGCATGCACTGCAAAAAAAATAAATGCCATATATAATTGAAATTTCTATTTGTCTGTCTGTAAGTTTACTGCAGTTTCCTGAAGCATGTTTTGTGTACTGGTGACCTCCTGTGAGAAAGTGGACAAGCTGAATTGTCTCCATCCAGCCAAAGGGATCTCGAGAGAAAAGCAGCAGGGGGCTTTATTGATGTTTTTCTAGTAAATGTTTTGCAATCTCTTTCGTTAATCTGTGTGACAAATATGCTGAAATACGTGAGGACGCATCAAACATCGTTAATTCAGGTAATATCTGATTTCTAATTCACACGGAGAGCTGTTACAATGCTCGAGTCTGTGCGTAGCAGGAACAATTTATGTGTTAAAGTATGCGTGCGCTGTTGGTTACTTTTACTGGTTACAAAAAAAAGAGTGTACTAATGCAGTTCACATAAAGGAATTTCTGTTTAGCGTTCAATACTGGTGCCAGAGAGAGAGCTACAAAATACAAATCATTTTAGCAAAACTGTCTGGTAATAAGCCTGTTCCCACCATGGCAGATTGTTGATTTGTGGTTAATATGTGTTATGTGTTGTGTTTTAACATAATGCATTTATGCAACCCAATAAAAGGATAAGTTCACCTTTGGGAACATATTACACGTGCAACTGGTTTTTAGGGTGGAATATGTAACATGTTCCCAATGCTACAGCCACTGCCTGATCCCCCCCTCTCCCTGTGACAGCAGTACAGGGAGAAGTTCTAGCTGTCATTTTCAAAAACAGCACAGCCGTGCAGAGCTGCGCACACAAGGCCACATCATTCAATCACAGTGTTCTGTGAATGAAGGAACTACAGGTCCCAACAGCCTAGTGGCTATCGGCTTGTAGTTCTCAATGAACTACCATGGCGCTGTCGAGCGCCATGGTAGTTCATTGAATCTTCCTGTCAGTATGTCTGCTTGCACGTACATTCCATACAGGCAAGCAGATATACTGAAAGGTCTTCAGAAGACCTGCATGGCACCAATGGTCTGCTTACTACAGGCTCCAGCAACCAAAAATAATAAATGCATATCTTTTTTACCTGCAAAAAAAATGTGCATTTATTAATTTTAGTCAAAAGGTGAACTTATCCTTTAATTCGAATGGTCTGCCTAATGCACCACAATGGACCTGCTGAATTTTTGATAGCAAACTGAAAAGCATAGTAATAGGTTACCGAGCATTGTGGTATACTGCAAAGCAGGTGCATTGTAAAGGTGTGGTTTGGTAACATTCACATTGAATTGTAGCACCAGAGGCAAACTAACAACTCATGGGCCCCCAGGCAATAGGAGGTCATGGGGCTCCCTGTATCTCTGCCCACACACCCACACAAAGCCCCACCTATATATTGCACTGCCCACATTATACGTGTTTTAATTGTTTAAATTTTTTTACCTATTGTAATTTTTTTTATTTTTGGGGGGTTTTTTTCATAATTTTTTTGGGGGAAGGCAGTGGATGGTGTTAGTAGGGCAGTGGACAGTGTCTGTAGCGTAGTGGATGGTGTCAGTAGTTTTTTACTTTTATTCAGTATTTTTTTTTACAATTTTGTACTTTGTAATAAAAAATTAAATTGTGAAAAATAATACAATTTTTTTTGTACCAGTCCTATTGGGGGGGCTTTGGTGAGATATCGGGTCTAAACAGACTACTGAAGTCTCACTTTGGAGATAGAGAAAATGAGATTTCCCAGTCCCTTTCTCTGTAGCCTCAGTTGCACAACAGATGAATGGACAGGAGACAGAGGCCCCTGTTCATTCATAAACTAAAGCATAGTAACACAGTTTACTATGCATCAGATATGAATGAACAGAGTTAGTGATTGGTACTGCTCATCGACTCTGCTCATTTAGAAAAGGAAGGCGCCAGCCAACAAGAACTGATATTTCATGTAACTCAACTGCTTTTATTTTTAAACCACAAAAGGATACAAGGTTGTTGAGATTAGGTGCGGCATTATATTCATAAGAATCTGTCAAGTTTAATTGTTTTCTTGCCAGGAATACCTACTCCTTAATATAAAGCCAATGCTATTTGTCTATTGGTGCCCGTAGGTTTCAGGGGCGGTGTACATGCACAGACAATTCATCTGCTCTCCTGCCTGCTGGATGTACAAACATGTCGCTTTGCATAGCTGAGCATTCATTACTATAAAGCAGAGCTGGCAGACACTGTTACATATAAAAGAACAGTTTAGTAAAAAAAATGTGGCGCTCCCTCTATATCAATCTTTAGAACTCAGTATATCAACTGTGTGTACAAAAATCATATTAAAAAGGTACATTTAACAGTCTTCCGTGAATGATAGTGAATATAAAAGACTATTATAAGTCTTGTAGATTAATAAAGGTCAAGAGTCCCAAAACCACATATTAATGTACATGTGTATCTTCCTCCACTACGTGTTCTACTGGTTATGCATTAAAAACCATCATGCACCGTGAATCCCATCACCTTTATTGCAATGCGCTTACCTGCAACTATGGACATAAGAACATATGCTATTAGGTCTATGCAGGCATTTCCCCCTCTGGGGATATGGTTAGGTTCCTGTTCCCTCCTTTCTAAGCCTTAGGAACAATCTTTTTTCCAACAGGACACCTGGTAAATGTATTTTTCAGAGGCTCCCAGCCTCTTCCTCCTCCAATGTCAGTGCACTCAGAGAAACATAGAATGGCCTCTCATACAGTAGTAATTAAAAATACCAGCCGTTATTATAAGTATTGCACTTACATTGAATCAATAGTAAAAGCTCCTTTAGGAATAAATGACTTGTACAGCCATCATCCAGCTCTCCTGAGGCATCCGACACTGGCTCCTCCTACAGGTTACGTCACGCCCCACATGACTTCATCAGGGAAATGCACAGGGTGTAAAGGTATCCTATATGTAACATGGGTAAATGTCTACCACAATTTGCTCACATTTACCCATGTTATATATCGCATTCCTTTACACCCTGCTCAGGATAATTAATTGTTCACACAGAAGGTGGCACAGACGCTTCACTATGATAATATTTGCATATCAAAGACAAGAAGGTTTTCATACAAGTTCAAGTGATTTTTCCTCAGATTTCAGTCACGAGCAGAAATCAGTCCACTACCTAATACAGCAAAAAAATGCCCAGATCTAG